GAGGTAAGAAACTCACCCCAAGTGTTTGTTATCTAGAGGGCTAATCTCTGCCACTTCAGATACCTTTTATGTTTAAGAGATAAAGAGCATTCCTCTTAACTGATATTTCATGTTATTAGTCTGTGTGAGGAATCCCTAGTGCTTGGGTGTTGCACACAGAAGTTTAGATTGGACACTAGATGAGAAGTTTGAGGACAGGTTTTAAATTTTGTTTCAGAAAGCAATGTGAAACCTAGGGAGAGAGATCTTAAGTATGAGGAGACACAGGAACCTGGACATTTGAAATACCATGCAATAACCTTTTTATCTTAATTCTCCACAAAAATGATCAGCTGATGATGAAATGAGGTTGAACTCTCCGTATGTGCATATGACCAAGACGGTTATGGGGGCTGTCCCATCCCTTAGGTGGTTGAAAGAATGCCTTCATGTGGTTCTCTTGGTCTTTTTGCAACTGCATCCCACAGGACATCCTTATCTGTACAATAAGAAGGAGGTGCAGTCTTCTCAGAAAAATAATTGTCATTGATTTGTTGATGTTGACTTTTCTGTGGTTCTCTACCCCCACTGTGAATACCTTTGAGGATGAGTACAGAAATGGATGTGGTTGCACGTCCTTCTTACATAAATCAGAAACATATCCAGTAGGCTATCAGCATTGCAGGACTCTGGTCTGTCCCTGAAGAGTATATTTAAGGACTAAAGAGTCATACAAATTCTTGGGGAAACCTTTCATAGTTGTTATTGTAATTAAGGTATACTATATGATCCTTTAACCAAGAGTGATGGCATATGCCTGCCATGCCACCTCTCAGGGAGGCTGAGGCAAGAGGAACTCAAGTTTGAGCTGAGCCTAGGCAATTTAACAATTGAAAAAAAACCTACCTCAAAATTGTAAAAAAAAAAATTTTATAAAAATTTTTTAGGGCTATAGATGTATGTCAATGTGGAGACCAGTGTTCAAGACTCTATAGCACCAAAAAGTATGCTCAATGACAAAGCAATGATGCACATGTGCGCTGTGAAATGATGACTACTGTTAAACACGTTAGCAAACCTTCATCCCACATAGTTTCTTTGTCTTCATATAAGAAAACCTGAAGTCAGCTTTTCATGGACATTTCCACTGTACGGGATGATATTCCTAACTCATTTCCCATGCTTCTATCAAGTTTTTTAAATAAGAAAATGTAGCATTTTCTGCACACCAGTTCTGCCTTTGCAGAGATGACTTCCCTTGCTGGTCTCCTCCTCCCCTGTGTGACCCTGACACAGGCTGAAACAGCCACACTGTACACTGTATGATGCAGAAATTGTGGCCATCGTTATCCTTGTCTCTCAAAACACTATAAGTAGACAGTCCCTAGTCAGGATATGCATTGCCCCTCAATAAATAGTTCACTGCTTCTGGAGCCTCTCACAGGTAGGTCAGGGCCCCTCTGCTTTGCACCATCCTAGAAATGTGTTCATTCCTGGGTTAATTATTGCCATGATTTTGTACCATTTTCATGAACAATGAAACATTCAGTGTAAGTATAAATTTTACCTCCTGGGTTAAGATCTGTCAGAACCACAACAAAAGAATTGTTAAAATTCTACAGGTGGCCTAAGCAGTAAGTGGCTCTTTTCTGAGAAAGGCAACTCAACTGAAAGGAGATCTAAGATTCAAGTTTTATACCACAGAGAGTTACTGACCGCCACTGTGTTTCAGAAATGATAAGTGCTAAGGGGATTAGGTTTTAAAAAACAGGAAAATCTGTGTAATACACTGTTTGAAAATCAGGATGAGCCTACAATGTACTTATGGCTCAAGCAGAATAAGTGTGCTATTGATCTAAAGGGTAAGAATAATACTTTCACAATATAATGCTGTAGGAATTTCTCCCCAGACAGAGGGGCTCAAACTGATCAAAGACAGAGAAGATTAAGTTGTTACATTAGTGCAGTGATGTTTTAGAATTCTATTGTGATAACATTGGGACTAATTTCACAGTTATGCATAATATAAGATAATGTACTAGAATTTAGAAGGCTTTGCCAATAAGGAAATGATGTTGTCTCTCTATGACTTCCTTAATTTCAAGCTATAAAACACCTAGCAAAAATGTATACATTCCATAATTTGGCACCAAAATACATAGGCACCTCAGATCATTTTCTCATTACTGCCAAAAATTTGCAAGATGCACAAGTTAAAAGAGGAAAGGTTTATTTAGCCCACCATTTGTAGAGGTTTCAGTCTACAGTCAGCTGGCTCCAAGGCAGAGTGCCATGGAAGAGGGGAATTGCAGAGGAGAAACAGACTATGGAAAGGCAGGCAGGAGACATTACACTTCTCCAGCAGCAGTAGCACGAATAAGTAGCAACTTGACTTCCTTTTCTCCCTCTACATTCCATGCAGGCTGGAAGCCTAGTGATTACTGTCACCCACACTCAAGGTGGGGCTTCCATTGTCCATCCCAAGAACTACACTAAACCAATTAGAGGACTAATTCACACAGCCTTTATCCAGGTATCACACCATTAATCCACATTCACACATCAGCCACCTCCAAAAAGCCCCACCTGTGAGCTCATGGGACTTTTGGGGGCATCTAATTACAAGCCTGAACAAGAGGTAATGAAATAATAAAGTTGCCACACCAACACTGAATTTTCACAACTGTTTTCCATCTGGTGATAAACTGGAGCAACCTAACATGGAGATAGCATCTACTGAGGACAATAAAAAATGATTTCTAAATATTCATAGAAATTTAGAAAAAGAAGCCATTTATAATTTTACAAAAACAAATATGGAGTTACAATATAACAGGAATAAACTTTAAATGAACAATACTGGCAATAGATTAAAACACAGGTATGTGAAAAAATATATCATATTATAAATTATATGTAATTAAGTATGTGAGCTATAGAAAAGTTTAAATAGAAAATATCAAATAATATGTAACTTCCCTTCCAGACTAGGCCCTGTTAAAACCCTGTGTGCAGTATTGTATTAAATTGTTATATCAGTATTTTTCTCTCATTATTATAATTACATAATTGGGTCTAACCATTTTATTATATCTATATAAAAAGATAGATAGATGGAAAGTTATCTTTAATACACTTTAGCACTGTTATTTTCTTTTTGTATTCATTGGCATAACTCTCTTTTCTCTAGGTACTTCCAGAGTCCGAATAGATCATTGATCTTAATAATTTCTTCATGTCTGCAAAAGCATTAATAGCTATAAACTGATGGCATTTATCAGCACCTCAAGATCTGTAATACATCCTATTTTCATTTTCATTTGTTGAAGATATTTTGTTCTTCTCCTGGGATTATGTCTTGCTGAAAAAATGTCCTTACAAGCTGTTTCTTATAATTTACATATATTTTATAATGACCATCCTTCTGTATTGGATAGACATTATTCCACAGTAGGAGGAGTTCATGCTCAATACAAGCTCATTCATTTTTGATGTTTGGAAACTTCTTAAAAATATTAACTAGGGATCTATTTCGGGTTAAAGCATAAAATCTACAATGAGCCCCTACAGCACTATTTTCCACTCACAATTTTGTTATATTTTTCCGATATTATCTATTCATAGGGGAAAAGCTCCATGTGAAAGGGAATGTTGAGGGAGTGAGCACTGAGTTACAGTTCTCAGTCTTATGACTTTGGGCAATGGGCGAAGAGTAGAAAATCAACTGACACTGAACATGTGAAAAGATAAAGTAACACAGACTTTGTATGAGACACTTCTTTAAATGTTAGTGTGTTTGAGCATGGATGTTTATTGCCAATTATGTTTCTTTTGGAGAGTTCTGAAACACGAACTCAAATATTACATTATTTTCTCCCACTGTTATTTTTCCCTGAGTGTTTCAGTATCTATGTTTGGTATCTACCACACATTTGCAATAGTCTTTTGATTAACTTGTCAGCACTGGGAAATTGGCACACACTGTTTTCCTGCCACAGTAGAACTACTGGGAAATTACTAACATTTACTCCTCCTGGGATGGAGTTTTTTTTGTTTGTTTGTTTGTGATGCTTATGACCCATTTGCCCCAATCCTACTTACCGTTCTCTTATTTATGATTTATTCACAATAGTAAATATTTGAGGTTTGTTTTATTTCACTGTAATTTTATTTGGTTTAGTAAAACAAATATTATGGACCTTGTTGCGTGCACAAGATTGTTTTACTCTTTGAACATCTACCTATGCTGCATGTCAATACATCCCGCGCTGTACGTCAATACCAAAAAAGAAGAGAAACTCTATGGTCATAGCAACACATGTAACTGCCAATGGACAATACTCAAAGTTCTCTCCTATTAAATCTACACAAAAAATAAGAATCTTCTACCACCTGATAAGGGAACATTACTTCCTTTGATAGATTTGAAATAGGAGGAGGGTAGAACAGATCACTCCTCATTGGTAGAGGTGCAGGCACAAACCAGGCGTAAAGAAGGATATTATTTTTCCCTGTGAAAAAGCTCTTTGTAAAGTTATCATGATTCAATGAATGCAAATTAAAAGCTTGAACTTCTTAATTTTACCTTGATGACCAAGGGTAGGTATGACACAAGGGCTCTGTATAGAGAGAACTATGTCTTTCTGCTTTTTTCCAGTTTAAAGTTTCATTCAAAACAAGGAATAAATCTCATTAGTTTTTCTTATGATTTGGGAGGACATAATGTCAGAGATATAGCAAACAACAAACTTTTATGCTTGACATTTCCTAAAAGGTACTTAAAAATATTGTGTACTGTCTTCTTATATAGTTATTTTTAAGTAATAAAAATAGGCAAAATAAGGGGAAAAGCATTGAAGACCATGTTTATGAGGAAAGTATACTAACTAAAATGAAACAAGGAAAAGTGCAGACCTCTTTCCTATCTATAAGAATAATCCAATTCATCCATCCTACTTGAAGATTTTCTATGAACTACAGAAGCTTGCAGTAATAAGTGAAAATGTCATTAAATATAAGTCATGCCTTTTATTAGCGGTGACCTGGGGGACTACGAAAAGTGGAAGTACAATGTTTTCTTCACAGACAAGAATGGGTGAGGTTTGGCACTGAAAATTCTGGTTGTCTCTGCAGTAGAGGTGAGGCAGCATCTCTGTCAGCATCATGTGCCTTTCCCCTTCACAGAAACCCAGCTACAAGAAACGCCAGCCAGGAGAGTAACATTTTAAGTGACAGGTTTTTATCTCCTCATAGAGCAGCGGACTCTTTCTAATGAAGCCAAATGCAAGTACAAAGAAAACCCACTTCCCACTCTGTGTATGGTGCCTGGATGAACTGCAGGTTCCGTGATGTTTGCAGTAATTCCCTGAGGAAGCATCTGAAAGAGAGGACAGTGCGGTGGAGATGCTTAGTCAGGACTGAGTGCCATTTTGTCGTAGAGGGGTGCATCACTCCTGTTTCTATAGCTATAGTTCTTCCTTGGAACGTAAGACGGAAGGATCTTCCATGCCAAAGAAGGTCTTTGGAAAAAGATCAGGCTCATGGAAAACTTCCTGTTTATCCCGGATGGGAAAAGACCAGAGAACATTTCAAGTGATTCCATGTCCAACTTACCAAGTTCCCTCAGTGCTCCTGTATCCAACTATCTTAGTGCATGCTTACTTTGTACTGCATTACTCCTATGTAGGAAATTTAGTGAAAAGAAGTCTAGTGACCACGATCTGAACTATAGTTTCCCCATCTTTATGGTTTTCATTTTTTTCCTCAAGACATGTTTGTAGTACACAATGTTTGCATTCCTTGTGGGGAGCAGTGAGATGTACGTACCCCATCTTCATTCCTGTTTTATCCCTTTCCCTCCCCCTCCAGCTCTTGAGCCCATCCCTTTTGAGAAAGACCTAGCTCCCTACTTCCTATTGTCTATCTTTTATTTTGCTCTTTATTTATAGTTTGGACTTCTCGTATGGGAGAAAACGTAGCATGTTTAAGCTGTGTATCTGACTTTTTGACTTAACATTATCGTCTCAAGGTGCATCCTTGTTCCTACAGATGACTCAAGTTAATCAATATTTATGGCAGAGTAGTATGCCTTTGTATATAAGTACACTCTTTATCCATTCATTTTATTGCACATTTAGGTTGCTTCCAAGATTTAGATATTATCAGTTGTGTTGCTATGAAGTCTAATGTGATTATAAAGAAGAAATCCATGAAATACCATTTTGATATAAGGAATTTTATTCATATAAAGAATGAACCGTGGTTCAGAAAGGAGCGATGTTTTTATTTGAGTGCACAGTAATGATGAGAAAGTTGGAGTAGAGGGCAGAGTAAACCGTCTGTGTCTCCCCTGTGTGGAGGAGTCACAGCTGTTAAAGGGAGGAAACTTCATCACCACTCATTTCAAGCTAATTGTAATGCTAGGATAAGCTGCATAACAGAAAAGCACATTTTAAAAAGCAGTCTAGCACATGTGTGCATTGGAAAGAAGAACAACGGATGTAGGGGCTGTTCTGGGGCGCTCTTAGGGCCAAAGGTATGAAGAGAGTCAGAATACCAAGGGGAAATTCAGCATGAAGAAATAGCCTCAGTTAACCACAAACGCTTCTATTCCTTTGCATCCGTATGTAATTCATAATCTAAATATAAGCTCATGTGTTCATGCCTTTTTTTCTGAACATATCATTAAAAAGTGATATTTTGATCCCTTTAACATCTCTAAGAATGAAAGGCATGAGTTTCTCTAAAGGAAGCTCCTCATATTTGATACTTCATATAGTATGGAAATGTTCATATTTCTATTTCTGTGTTAATATATTATCCTACTAAATTAGATTATATTAGTTGAGAATTACTATAATGTACTCTAAAAATAAAACCATGTGAAAGTATGGGGAACAGTATGTAGATTGTCTTAGTTAACATTCTCCCATTGCTAGTACAAACTAGCCAACACCCAAAGTTAAAGGGAAAGAGGATTATGGAGATCGCATAAATCTTTGTGAAGATTTCAGTCCACGTCAGCTGGCTTCAAAGTAATGAGGCACATAGCAGCAGGGAACAGTTCACTGCATCAGAATACAGTGAAAACAACAGAGCAAAAAGAAGAGAGAGCCTCCTTTCATCCCTCGTTTTGTATGCACACTGCTTGCCCCAGAGCAGGTGGAGCATTCGCAGCCTCAACCCCAGGACTAGATACTGAACCAATCACAAAGTCTAGATTCAGTCAGCTCTGAAAAGCCCTCCCCCATGATCTCATAAGGCTTTGGGGAGACATCTAGACGCAAACCATAATATTCTGCCCCTGGCACTACGAAGACTAATATACATCCCTTTGTGCAAAAAGCACTTAGTCCATTTCTAAGAGTTGCCAAAGTCCCAACAGCTTCAGCCTTGCTGAAAAGTCCAAGTCCCAAGCCACGTTGAAGATGTAAGGTACACTCTTAGCTGTGAGCCCCTGTACAAATGAAAACAAAGTTAAGCACTTCCAACATTCAGTGGCACAAGATAGACACTTCCATTCCAAAGGTGCAAACAATGGAATGGACAAAAGCAAGTCCAAAATCCAGCACGGCAAACATTAAGTCCTGTCATTCCATATGTAGTATCTGAGGCAATCTGTGGCAGAAATTGAACTCCAAAGGGTTGGGTGGGTCCACCCCAAGGGCACTTCCTGTGGTTATAGCTCCCATGGCTTCTTTCTAGGGCCTGCTCTGCTCCTTTCTTGTGGTTCCTCAGATGATCCTTGTTCCTGGCTTTTCTAAATTTCTGGGTTCTCTACCGCACCTTTGGCTTCACCCTCACAGCTTCACATGCTGCCCTCTAAGGGACAGACTGTCTGGCCTCCCAGGCCTTATGAAATCCAAGTGGAAGGCTTATTAACTCCACAGCTCTTGCATTCTGTGTGCACCTAAAACCAGTGCCACATGGATGCTGCCAATATCTGCTGCCAGCTGGAGCAGTAGCCAGGCTTCCTTATCTCTTAGCTGTTAAGAGTCAACTGCCTATGAACCAAAACCTGAGGAACTACTTCCCTAGGCCATGACCACGCTGGATCACGGTTCAGTGAGGTTCTCAAAGGCAAAAACTTTCACCTTTGCAACTCTCAGGCTGTAGAGGCTGGAGTCCTGTTGGTTCTTGGGATGTTCAGGCCATTTTTTCTCTTGTCTTCTTCTGAAATACTTGTTTTTTTTCTTGCTAGTCTTTTCAGAGATCAATTTTTCCTCTGTTCCATCCTTGCAGGCCATGACTTTACTACAGCTTCATTTCTGACCAAACTCAAAATGGTTTAAATTAGTCTGCTGGGCTCTTTGTTCTTGAGTGTCAACACAAACCTACCAATACATAACACACATCACCTGGAGTCCAACATTGAATGCAGTTGTTCTTCTGAAGAGAAACCTCTGAGGATTGGTCTTTACGGGTGGTGCTTCTATCAGTATTCTGGTCTTATGATCTCTGGCCATAATCTCCCGTCAAGTACAGCCTCATCTCTACTTTCTTACTTGGCATCTCCAAACCTTCCCTCATTCTTCCCACAAGCCAGCTTCAAAGGCTCCTGAGTCACATGGTCAGGTACAGTCACAGCAACAGCCCCCCTTCTCTGCCCCCAAATACTATTGAAGTTGCTTTTTTCATTGCTAAGCCCACCTGATGCCTGAAGTTAAGGAAGGGCAGGTTTGTTTGGCTCACACTTTGGAGAGGTTTCAATCCATACTCAGCTGGCTCCAAGAAAGGGTAGCATCACAGATCAGTATTGCAGAGGAAAAACAGTCCATGGCAGGCAGCAAGTAGCAAATCAAGCAAGGGAAACCTTAAAAGTATCTTTCAGCCCCTTTTATATTATGCCCAGGCAACCAGGAGTAGGGTGGTGCGAAAACTATCTTTGGACTGATTTAGTAATCACACACTGTAAATCCCAGCATCACACTCTAGTTTCAGCCACCTCAGAAAAAGCCCCAACTATGACCACATGAAGCCATAGGGGAAAATCTAGTCACAAACATAACAAAGCTGCATAGAAAGACACAAATTTTGTTTTTAAATGTATCGTTCATCACCGGCCATTTATTCTCCAGCACTCTCCCATGACAGGTTTTCATGAAGACCAGATGGTGATTTTGTAACTTCTCTGTACAAAGACACTGACCTGACAACTTTCTCCTATATCAGAAATAGTTTATCTTCTCTGGATCTCTCTCCAGCATCACAGAGGAAAATTCATTTAAGCCTCTGGTGACTTTGGGAACCACCATCCACAGTCTGAGGGATAAAAATGAAACACAGCAGTCTTCAGGCCATCTGCCCATCGTGAGATGTGGCACACTCAATCGCATGGCCCTGCATTGTTAGATTTAGCATCTTACTCTGGATCCTCCACCTCCCTGCCCTCATGATACCCTTCCCCCAACCACAGTAGTCTAAATCAAATTCTGTGATTTGAGCAAATGTCCAGGAGTCTCACACAAAACATTCTGCTACTTATGGGCTGAGTATATTGATAATATTTGTTCACATTTGGCTCCTTAATGGTGAAGAAACTCAACAGTGTGAGGAAAAGCTGCATTTGCTGTGCGTTTCTTGTGCAATCCCATGTGTCAGATCTGTGGGAAACCCCAGGTAAAATGCTGTTCACGTGAGGCATTGGATTTAATTTATTCATCTCTCCCTCCAGAAAGCTAACGATGTTGTTGGTTTGAAGGCAAACTCTTGAGTCACAAAGCTGTTATCTGTCATTACCATCAGCTAAGGAATCAACTTTGCCTACTTTTAAGTCTTTCCAGAAGAAACCCAAGTTGGAAGTGGCAGGGAGAGGAAAGCTGGATTTTTAAGGAGAAGAGTTCATAACCTGCAGAGATTTTGCCTTGTACCCACTCAATCCGTGCCTTGAACCCCCTCAGGGGTTCACAGAGAGTCTCCTGAGAGATTGCCATACACATGCAATAGCACAGAAACTCAAGTGGAAAATCTGACTATGCAAGACTCTGCCATGCAGCAAGGAAATGCAGGAGAAAGTGTTCAGGGAGCTCCCTCACTCTCTCTGTCTCTCTCTCTCTCTTTCTCTTCCTATCTCTCTGTCTTTCTCTCTCTCTCTCTTCCTCCCTCCCTCCCTCTCTCTCTCTCTCTCTCTCTCTCTCTCTCTCATGAAATTAGAGTCATTTTTGAGAAATCACCCCAGACTCCAAGCTACTAGATGGAGCGTTGTGAAAATCTCTCTGACAACTATGTCCACTGATACACTAAATGGGGCTGGGGCAACTGACACAATAAACTTTAATACTAATTTAACTGTATTTAAATATAAGAGGTCCATGTGGCTAGTGACAGCCCTATTGAATAGTGCATTACACAAATAATGTTTGTGTACCTCTGGAGTCTGGGGGAGAATACAGGACTCCTAGCCCCACCAGAAACATGCAGGGACCTCAGGATGCAGCCTCAGGGTGGGCTGGAGCTCACAAGAGCTCTCTACCATAGTAATCTCAACACTTGTCACTCACCCTGTAACATTTCTCAGGCTAAAGAAGAGACCTGACTCAGAGGAAGCCAGGAGTAATCTTAGGTGTATAGACTCTGGGCGTCACACTTGTCCCCAGAACACAGGGTGCACCATTTAGCAGTGGTGCCCAGGTGCAGACACAGCCTGTAACACTCGGGCCAGCAGGAAACACACAGAGCAGAGCCAGAGCGCGGACCTCTGCTTCTCACCACACTGTCAGGACTCCAATGGCTGAGCTCAGGGGGCCTTGCTGTTGGTCCTGCTGAAGAGTGTAGAGGGGAGAATTCTGTGCACAGCATAGAAAGGCTGTTAGGAGAATGACAGAGAAGAGCATGTACTCAGTCACTGGGCACCAGTTTCCCCTCCAGGTTCAGAGATGTTTGCAGGCACCAAGGCCACGTGCAGGAATAAACTCTTCACCCTGGGCCTCCCAGTGGGGAGAGAGAGAGTGAATGTTTGCAGTGCCTCGGGAAGAGCTCTAAGAGGCGGTGGATCCTTGATGGTGGGACCTCACTCCGTGTCTCCCTCCAGGTCCAGGGCAGCCTGGCCTGCAGCATCCTGAGCACTGCACTTGCTCTGCTGGGTGTCGCTCTGCTCTCTTACACCATGGCCGCTCTGGATTCTGCCTTTCAGCAGTGTGAGTTGAGCAGAATGTCCAGGTCAACCACCACGTCTTACTATTACTCTCACCGAGAGGACTAGAGCAATGACTTCCTCAACCGCAAAGCCAGTCTGGCGGTGGGTGTTTCCACAAGGCTGCCCCATGAGCGCTGTGGTGCCCTGACGTGTCGTTGTCCTTTGTTGGCACAGTCTCTCTGTAGTCTCTCATGAGGTCACGCGGAAAGCCTAGGGCCAGAAAACAGAAGGGAGTGGAGACAATCACAGCGTCCGGCTGGGCTGAGGGGTTGCATAGGAACAGGGTGGAGCTGAGGAATAAATGGAAAACAAGGATGATAATGAGAATTTCTTAATAGTAATAAAAATCAATTTGAGAAGCATGAAATATGAGTCCTTAAGCCAAGGGCTTTGATACGTGGAAGGATGGATTAAGAAAAGCAAACACAGCAGAAAGTTCCAGGTGATCAGGAGATGCAGTGGGAAACCTGCTCTGTGTGTGTGTGAGTGTGTGTGTGCGCGCCCAAGCGGGCGTGCACGGACTGAGGGTAAACTCGGTCAGGGCAGATATCAGACCTGGAAATAAGGATCAGAGAGCACGAAATAGGAGACTTGATCTCAAAGGAACTGGCTAGGAAAGGGGCGGGGCTTAAACTGACTACCAGGGTGGAGCACTCTCCCTCCCCAGGGAGCCTCGGCTCAGTCTCTGATGGTGGAGACCCCTTTGCTCAGGCTGGAAGCCTTGGGTGACTGAAGCTCCACTGACCTCTGCCCTCCTGCTTTGAAAGACACCTCGTCTGTGATGCTGATCTGCAGGGCGCTGGAGCTCCCTCTGGCTGTGCTCCTGGCTGTGCTGTGGTGGAAACAGGCTCAGTCTGACTTCCCTGGGGTGAGTAAGGGAGGAAGGCCACCCAGACTCTGTCCTGGTCACCAAGCCTGGGAGGTGCAGCTCTTGCCATGGGTCTTGAAACGCAGCGGGTGGTGGTTCGGGTGGGGATGGAAAACAGGTGGGGGGAGCAGATGAGGATGGAGGAGCTGAGCAGCTGAGCCTCTCTGCAGGAGAGAGCTCAACACGAGAGTCCATCTGCTTCGGTCCTGTGCAGCGAACAGGAGCAGCGGCTCCAGGAAGTTCATGTCCTTCCCGGCATCGCTGTGAGTTTGTGCTGGTGCTCAGGACACTGGCCCTGGCTGCCTCCCTTCTGAGCAGGGGCAATTTCTTCAACGACTCAATTTCTAGAGTGACTTACTGAGGAGGGCTTGCCAAAAGAATGGAATCAAGTTCTATCTTATGCTCTGCTTGTCCCACCTTGTGACCTTAGAATTCTTTCTTTTTTTTTTTTAAAGTTACAAAGGAATACTATTGGATCAAATTGTCTGGGATATTATCTGACCACTGCTACAAACACATGGCTTCATTTAACTGAATTAAAATGCTTGTACTAGACTGATGATTGGCAGTTATTCAAAGAACTTAATTATATGCTGCCTTTTCCTGGAATAGCTGCCATTCTGTGCATAAAGCTGGGGAATCGGCATTAGACTTACCTGAGAGAAGTCAGTAACCTGACGTATGTCCTTCCTTCCAGAGTGTGCTGTTCCAGCCTCAGAGTTACAAAAATGATCCCAGCATATTCTCAAAGACACCCCAGGACCCTGAATATGAAGAGCTCCCGATAAGAGACGTAGAAGAGCTTCTTAATAAGAGACATAGAAAATATTCAAAAGCAAATGGTCTTTATAGTAATAGAGAAGACACACTCTCAAAAGACAGCAAAGTCTGAGGTGCCTAAATGTGAGCGGTCTCATCAAATTTGATCAAAGTTCCTGATAAATGTGTGTGCTCTGATGCTCTCCTGATTTTCCTGAGGTCACCTTTAGGAAAAGCGGTACCATGGAAATGGCTCACTGCACTGGTGGAGGAGCCCCAGACCCTGCCCAGGGACACAGCAGACGGCATTTCAGTGGACCTCGGAGATGCAAAGGACACAGCGTTTTCCTGTCTCCCTTCACTGCAGCGGGCGTGGACTCATCTATTACGGTGCTGTGACTCTGCAGGGGGCTCTGGATTTCACCACAC